GATAAATTGGGCAATTTGTGGAAGTGTTGTCCGAATTTGTTATCCGGACAAGGTTGACCGGATTATTTATTTTGTCAAAATATGATTCTTTTTGAAACAATAAATGAGAATTTTGACAAAATTGAATTGGTACTGATAATAATTCCATTGACTGCAGTCTATTTTATATGGAATTGTTTTATGAAATATTTTGATGAGGAAATAAGGGTGGCATATCAAGGAGAGGTGTACCATGGGATAAGGGTGGCATATCAAGGAGAGATGTACATTTGGATATAAGGGTGACATTTGTATATGTGTATTTCATAATATAACTCTTACTATTATATCCCTTAAGACTACTGTGGTTTGGAATCTTTATTTATGTGATTTAAAGATTTAGAATCAGGGTTCTTAATGGAAATCATAGTCTGGATGTTATAGAAGAGGAGATAACAGGTTTAGCCTGAAACTTTGATTGAACCTTATTTGATTCAAGAGGTTTAAAAGTGGCATTCTGTTAATTGACTAGTGTAAACCTGTTTGGTTTTGATGTATTAATTGCAAGCAGACTATTTGGCTTAAAAAGGGAAAGGTATTGATACCATGTTCTTACTTATTCACATATTTGTGGCATATATGAAAAGTTGTTTTATTTAATAGTTTTGGTGATTTTCACCCTGCAATGACATAAATAGGGTAACTCACTAGAACTTTCGGTCTAACCCTCGTTTGTGATTTAAATATGTATTGCAGGAAGTGCTGAATGTAAGAGAAAAGGAAAAATGTGATAATTTCTCTATATGTTTACCTGCATGAAGAATGAATGATGATATGTATAGTTTTGGTAGATGAATGTGGAATAGTACAAGAATTTATATTTTGAATTTTTGGACCATGTATTTTATACTGGTAGATTCTTGTATTAAGGGACCAATATGGGGTTTAAACATGTATTTCTTATACTAGTTGTGTACCCGCGCAATGCAGCGGGAGCCGTGAATTTTAACGATTTTGAAGTTCCACTGGTTTTATTAGAGAAGATTTAACGATGATACAAGTTACATTTGGTCTTTACATATTAATACAATTTGAATAAATAAGAGTTATGGTTCCAATTACAGTCTATCGATAAAAAAATCTAATATATTTAAAATCCAACATATTTAAACGACTCCACAAATGTGTTTTATTTACACCAAGAACAAAGAATCAAGAGATCGAGAGCGAGATCCAGAGTTGTAAAGCAATTGAACGGGATATGAATGAAAGAACTTTTGATAACTTATGGTAAATATCAGTTTGAATCTCACATTGTGAGATGCGGAGAAGACATAGAGGTATGAAAGGGTGAAGACATGAGTGAAAAATGTCAAAAGTATCTTGAAATCATGAAAAGAAAAAGTAATAACTTGCATTGATAACTTGTACTATATGTTATTTTAATTGTAGATTATAAGATTTTTTAAGACCGAATACATAAAATAGTAGTACTTAATGCATTATGAGTTGTTTTTAAGACTTTGTGCATAAATGTATAGTACTTTGTGTATTAAAAATTGTTTTTAAGATTTTTGATAAATCTGGTTTATAAGGTGGTATATATATATATATATATATATATATATGGTTATTAAAACGTTCCTCACTTTTTCATTTTTTGGTATTTTCCTAAAACATTACTTTATATTCATAATATGGTATATKAGTGAWGARAACCACYTAAAAGTAAACTCCAARAACATCAACACCACATATATGTTGTTTCTCTTTTATATACGACATTTTTTCATTCTTTTTTACCTGTCAATTGATGCTTCCAAACCAACAAAACAATGTTCTTTTGGTACGGTTGTAAATCACTAAAAAATGGGCTAACGGGGATAATCAATAAACTTCATTCAATCAGCATAAGTAAATATATTGGTTCGGTCATTTTCTCGAACTCAAAAGATAGATCGATCGACTCACGAGTCGTTTTTTTTTTAGTTTGGTTACCTTGTCAACCAAAAAACCATGTTTTTATGCAGCTTCATGCCAACTTACCAATCAAACTTTAATTTGGAAAACTGAAAACCAAGGATAGAAAAAAGTCAACACGTCCGCCATAACAATGAACAAAACCCGAAGTAGAAAAAACAAAGCTTTTTCAGTTTGAGTAACCAAAAACACGCTATTGTTTGATCACTTCTTCGGTTTAATTATTCAATTTCGGTTAGTGTGCATGTCGTCACGATAAATCTTTTGTTTCATATATCAACCTTCGCTACATATACAAGTGCGACAGTCGAATTTGGAGAGACCTTAAATATGTACAAAATCAAGGGAAGTCTTGAATGGTAAATACACCAGCAATGCGGCAAAAAAAAAAAAAAAAGGGAAACAAAACGAACACTTTAAGCTTATGCTGATACTGTTCTGGTTATGCACAATCGTCGATTTTTTGATCTGAAACAGGAAGGAAAGGAGATGGGGGTGCCGTGATCATGATGCTCTGGATGAATGCTATCATCTGCAAATCAACAAATTTCAACTTCTTTAATCCTTACAATGGAACGTGCTAAGAGGCTGTTTAGTGTTTATTTGTAGCTTAATAAGGTTTATGGTTTGGACAGCTTATTTGTTAACCCATAAAGGAGTGTTCCTTTACGGCTTAATTGTTAAGACATTAAGCCATAATGACTATATAGAATAATCCAGGATCAGTTGTTCTCGTTAAGCGAACTCAAACAAATTAATACCAAAACTGTCCTAGAAATAATCCAACACCTCTTTCTTTGCCTCCCTCAAATTCAATGGTCTCCCATCCAAAGTCCAGACTGACAACTTTACCCGTACAAAACTTAATGGGAAAAAAAGTAAACAGCCCATCCTCATTCTTTGAGTGTGAACGTATGGAGAGTGGTTGCATTTTGTGCCACGTAGAAAAACTATGATTTTTATAACCCAAAACTATATATTTTATAACATAAGCACTCAATGCTACAAAGAAGCATGAAAACTTCCAGAGTGCTCAATGATTTTGTGAGAACAATTAGATATGAATAAAACAAAACTGCTGTCTCCATAATGCTTAAGTAAAAAATAAATACACGTAGCTATCAAAAGCAACATGAATGATATTTTACCCCCACGAATAAATATAGTCGAAGCCCTTGAATTTGCACAATCCTTAATATAAAGCATCCAATCTTTTGTGGTACCAAATGCCTTCTCTCTTACCAAACCAACCTGTCCATNAATATAAAGCATCCAATCTTTTGTGGTACCAAATGCCTTCTCTCTTACCAAACCAACCTGTCCATAATGAAGATAACTATATTACATTAGGATGCACAACCAATGTCAAATGTTTMAGTAAAAGTCATATCACATACTACAACATGAAATCAAATGTCATAGAGCATAATGTCCAACACTATTTTCAGCAAGTAAATTTGTATCTGGTGGGGAGAAGTGTTTGGTTAACTACAAGTGTTTCAAATGGACGAGTTACCAAATCTGCTATGAAACTACCARSCTGCATATTGCAATTAGAAGCTCAATATTGTATTCTAGTAAACAATAGTTTGCATAACTAAGAMCTGTACTCATAACTTTGCATGTAAATCATAAGCAAGTTAAAGTGGACTTCCTGGCCAACGATACAGCCTAAAGAAAATCGGGGAAAGTTGAGTATGAACTATGAAGAGCACCATGATTCAAGACACCAAATAAAATATTATAACAAAATTGTTGAGAAGAAAGTACCTCCTGGGTTTTTTTGGAGAACTTTTAAATAGTATGGATGGAATTTGTTTGATGGGATTAAGAACGGGAATATCCCATGGGCTCGGTCTTGTTCCACAAGTACTGCCTCCCATTCTTGATGATGAACTTTACTATCTCGTCAACTAACCGTTTCATGTTAGAGGGAGGATCTAGGAGCATGTTCTCGATCTTGGGAATAGGAGGAAGAGAAGAAGCCCTCAACTTATATGGAACAGCAGAGAGTGAACCCAAGGACTCGCCTTTTCTCATGTTGCTAGTTTGTCCAGTTCTCATGCTGTTTAAAACTGCAAGAGATGGACATAGAGAGAGAGAAGGTAATATAGATTTTTTTCACAAGAGGTAAAAAGACAAAAGAGTCCATTTGTTCAGTTCATAAACAGTAGACCACAACATGTCAATGTCTATATGGGTCTATACGTACATACTACTAAAGTCTGCTTACTGTTTACTGTTGATTACCTACGAAATACAGCAGCAACAACAGCAATAGGGTGTCTCTTGATCTGGAGTCAAACCTAAAGTCAACATCATCAAGAGGACCCTGTGTGCCTTCTCGACCTTCTTCATCGTACAAAAGTTCTGAATCAAAGCATTGAAAGAATAAAACATCTGGCTTTACCCCATTCGTTTGCATATTCTTCATCAAAGCCTTTGCTTTAAAAACATCACCAATAATACATAATGAAAAGATCAGGATATTATATGTTATAGCATTCGGATGAACACCCCAATCAACCATCCCGTTTAAACAATCAAGAGCGTCATCAATTTGATGGGTCCTACAAAGACAAAATATAGAGCCTCATACATTTCATATATCTAAACCTTAACAAGAGTGCTTTTATAAAGCATACAAGCGACCTAGTTTTAGATAATCCACCAATTATCATCATCATATCAATCACCAAACTGTCCTAAATTCTCATCACATTGTCTGGACTCTGGTGTACATTTTGGCTCAAGTGTTGCAAATGATAAGCCTTAAAACATGAGCTCAAGTGCTAACCTGTGCCCAGGTGTTAAAATTGCATAGACCTATTTAAATATGTATCTTCTTCAATCAATTCATAGTTAGAATCCTCCAAATGAGCTAGAATAGATGCAACCTATTTGCTTTGTGTCTAAGAACATATTGACAACATATGAGAAAGTTTTCAAAGTTCACAAAGCTTGATTGTTAAAAGAAGAAACCAAGGGCAAAACTAAGATGCCTATAGAAAACATTTTACCAAATATTTGAGCAAGGAATGAAAGGCAGATATAATACAAACTCGGATCACAAATCTACAACCAAGAACAACATTCAATTTTGCAAGTATAAAACATCTAGATAACTCAAGTGTCACAAAATAACGGGGACAATCGAAATTAACAATCTTAACAGAAAAAAGTAAAATATTGTACACCCAAACATAAAAACAACTACTTTACCTGCACTGAAGCACTGTAGCAGCCTATAGGCTTCTCAGATTCCAAACTGTAGAAACAAAATGTAATAAGATAATCTATTCTGTTTAATAGCAGCATTGAGAAACATTGAAAAAAAACCAAACAACGTGAATAATATCAATATCAGTCTACCAAAAAGGTCAAAATACCCTAAATCAACTGAATTTCCCTTAGATTCAGCAAGTCCGGGTGTCGATTCCACTTCCTGCATCAAGTTGCAAAATAAGCATATGATCCTACGTTAGTTCCAAGAAATTCAAAATTATCAACCAGATTGTATAAACTCACAAAAAACCATAGACGATTGAGTCTTTAATCATCTATAATAAGAGGATAAAAGGGAAACCTGGTGGAATTGGCCAGTGAGGAAAGGTGTGTCGATATTCCATAGAGGGGTAGATGGGCATACAGAAGATACTAAATCGAGATCAAAAATCAAGGGTTAGGGTTTTCGTACGGTACCTCAAGCTCAAATCAAATTCGAATAGAAGAAGCTTGCTATGGGAATGTGATTGAGAGAAAGAGGGGGATCAATGAACACGGTTTTATGTAGGTATCTTTTGTTTCCATCGGTTTCTTGAATAAAGCACGAAATACAGAAACCTCTGAGTGATGATGTTGTTTACGATAAAGAAAAGYTGAATCTTTTTATCAGGTGAGAGCTGTAATARGGAAKGAAGAAACAAGAAGGAAGAAAGAATGGTTTGAAGTTACTAAATGGGTGGAAGAAAGCTGTAAAAAGGGTTACAGATTGAAATGAAAAATCTAGGTTTTTGGANGGACGGAGGAATTCGTTCAACTCGGGAGTGGGAATTCATATTGTTGATGGTCAAATTCTGTGAAGAAGAAAGGGAAAGGGTTTGGTCACATATACAGAAGAAGAAGAAAGAAAGTTATTTTAGATGTCTGAGGAGAGAATTGATGGTCAAATTCTGTGAAGAAGAAAGGGTTTGGTCGCATATACAAAAGAAGAAAAGAAAGCTCAAATTGGTTACCTTACATGTCTGAGCAGAGAAAACACAATTGACAGAATTAGTATTTGGTGTTGTAGGAAACTATTGCATAAGGAGTTTGTACATTGTGTATAATAATTTGTAATTAAGAGTTTTTTTGAAAATCATGCATAAAATTATTGTAACATATGCTTTAGGAGTTGTATTTAAGACTTTGTCTTAAATGCTTATATATGTAGTATAGATATGAAGTATGTGTTACATGTAATGTATGGAATGGTGCGTTTCACGAAAGAAAAAAAGGGAAAGAGGAGAAAAGTAGAAAAAAATTGTGTTCTTGACACTTTTTTAGTAAAGAAAGGAAAGGAAAGGGAAAGGAAATAATGATAAATTTCTTTTCAAAGCTTTCCTTGCAAATGTAGGGGGAAGGGGAAGAAAAGGAAATAAAAGAAAGTAAAAAATTTACAAAACTAGTCAATCTTTTGTATTAAATGATATATTTTTAAGGGGTATATTAGTAGAAACATAAAAAATTATTTTATTTTCTTTATTTTCCTTCCTTTTCTTTTCTTTCGAAAACATAAATAAAATTCCTTTTTTTTTCTTTTCTTTCCAAATTCGAGAACACAGTGCAAAAAAGAAAACTGGGGGCTGTTTGGTTTGTTGGATTCCACAGGAATCTGGTGGAATTGAAATGGTCAATTCCATTGACCAAATTTCATTCCAACGTTTGGTTATTCATGAAATGGAATTGAATTCCAAACATTACCTCATTTAAGGATTTTAGCATTCCTTCATAAAAGTGATGGAATTGAAACTCTTCATCCAAAATTGTAAAAATGACAAAAATACCCTCATGATGCTTCCAGTTTCATCATCAATCGATTATTGCTTGCTTCCGATTTACGCTTATTGTATAAATCGATTTCTGCTTGCTTCCAATTTCTGCTTATCGATTACTGCTTGATTCCCGTTTTTGCTTATCGATTTCTGCTTGCTTCTAGTTTTTGCTTATTGATCAGCAAGAGCAGCTCATTTCTTTGCCATATGAGGGGGTAAGAAAGAGGAAAAGAAGAAAAATAACGAGAAGAAGAAATTCATGAGAAGAAGAAACCCTAGAAACAAAAGCCAACAAATTCACAAGAAGAAATCTGGAATTGATGGTTATTGCCCAACCAAAGTCTTCCCCAACTGTGATTACTTGTTTCTTTACCAAATTCTTGTTCTTCTTCCTCTCTTTGTTGATTGTCGATGAAACCTGAATTGTCTCTTGCCGGTTCTTCATTTTTCTCTGTCAGAGCCTTCTTTGTTATCGATTTACTCCTCACCGTTGATTTTATCTCTGCCTTCCCTTTGTTTTCATAACACAATCTTGGAATCTTGGAAATAAGGCGTTGAGATGGGGTTAGGGTTTCAAATCTTGATTCTGGAACATATCTTCATATACTTCATCTTCTTGTATCTCCTGTTCGTTGAGCAATTTGCTTCTCAAAAGCAGTGTGGTGCACTCATCTTCTAGATCGATTGTTGCTTTCATCTTCTTGATCGATTGTTGCTTCAACCTATCACTTCATGTACTGCTTTGTATACATCCCACAAGATGGATATATATATATATATATATATGTGTGTGTGTGTGTGTGTGTATATTGAAGAACAAAAAAGCTTCCACAACAGAATTTCTGATTTTTGTATACGATTTGTAATTAAAAAAATTTAAATAATTTTAAAAAAAATATCAAAGAAAGGGTATTTTTGTCTTTGTTCATCATTATATTCCAATTATGTTGCAAACCAAATAGACAGATTCCAATTCATTAGACATATTCCATTCCATTCTTGTCCATCAAACACTTGGTCAAACCTAATAACATTTCATTCCAATTCCTTCCAGATTCTAATTCCTTTGACATATTCCATTTCTTCATAAATCATTCTACGAACGAAATATACCTTGGGGTTTTTTTGGGATGATTGTTCACGTGGGTCTACGGGGAAAATCAGATGAGGGCTTTTTTTTATTTTATTTTTAATTTAAGCTTTAATACATTATATAACATTATATTATTTAGTAAAAAATTAAAGAAAATAAAAATAGAGTGGAAAAGGCTCTTACCCTTAATTTAACAAATTTATTTAATCGAGTTAGGTAGAGGAACGAAAAGGAAAATGAAATGAAAACAACAATGACAAAAAAAGCAATTTTAAAAAACCAATGATGAAATTGACAATAAACAACAAACCATAACGACGACAATCATGATTTACTATGAAACTTGAAATAATTTAATAATTGAAGATTTATATTTTTATTAACCTCCTCAAATCATGCTCCTCCATTCCCTCCTTTTCCCTTCTTTCTCCATCTTTCCTATACTAATTAATTATAATTGGTATACAAAATTTTATATCATGTACCAACCAACTATACTTAATACCAACTAAATTGGTACAAACTCTTTTTTATTGGTACGGTTTTATATCAACTAAAAGTTTTAGTTACAAATTTATTTATATCAACATTTTTACCAACTAGATTTAAATTCACTAATGATCAAGTACCCAAATAACATATTGATATGTGTTGTAGCATTTATTACTACATATACAAACACAAAAATAATTTTCATATAATAAAACCATTCATTAATGATCTAATACAAATGAACAATGAATGCAATGATGAACCATGGAGGTATGGACGAGTTATTAAGCCTGTTATGATTGGGCGAGTAAATTCAATTAAGTTTAATCTATCCATTCATATCATATTTAATAAAATTAAAATAATTTAAAAAAATAAGTCGGTACAATATGGTAGTACTGTGATACATCAACCAAGTTTAGATAGTTACTACCAACCAATCATACTACACGTAGTATTGGCTTAGTATTGGCTTCAAACAATCATACTACACACAGTAAATATAGAAATTCTATAAAATAGGTCTAGAGCATATAACATAGAATTATTAGAAGAAATAACGTCTCTTCCTATGTTCAAATTCTTGAGATATTGTAGAGCTTTCTATGACCTTGGCAGTGAATAGTTTGAGTTAAAATAGAGATTTTGCATTTTCAAAATATTCAGGCTTTCTAGTTGCTATTGTCTTCCACACTTCTTTTGGGAAAAGCACTTAGAAGTGGCACTTTCTCTAGGGACTTGTAACCTTCTTCAAAATGTTCCAACATTTTCATGTGTCAAGTAATAATGTCTAAAATGATCTAGTGTGATCTTGAGACTTGTACAAGGTAGGACCTTTCCGTAGATGAACCTAGTACTACTAGTAGTAGCCTGTATGCCATTCATGTATCCATAATGTTGTTATATTCTAGGATGTTCCAAGTCTCTAAAATAAGTGGGTCATCTCATTTCTAAGCCATCCAAGAAACTTCCAAGTAATTAAGGATTGTCATGGTGAATTGGTGATTACCTATTAAAGCATCTCCAACCACGCGCCCGTATAACTTTATGTTTACTAGCCAAAACCCTCCAACCGACCAGTAAAACAAGAAACAAAAATGCTAATTGTCACAAAGAAAGCCAAATATCGCATGTACTATTTCACCTCCTGCAAAAGCTTTGTGAGAGGAGGGTTTTGTAGTGCAATTAGAGAGGTTTTTTTATTTTAGTGTCAAAGAGCCCACAAATTTAGTATTTTTGAAGGTTAGCGTGCGTTGGAGTTGGTCTTTCTAATTCCTTCTTTCTTTAGTTTTTTTGGTGGCTTTGTTTATTTTGGTTTTTGGAGCTTCATGTGCATTTTTAGCCACTTCCTTTTAGGCCATGCAGTTAACACTTTGCACTTTTTATGCATGGGATGTGTATTCATGAAGGTTTATTTGTGGAGATGTTTTCCATCAGTTATTCTTCAACTCATCAACTTTGATTCAATTAAATTTCTTTTCAAATAGTTGGTTTGAGATGCAAAACTGACACACATAGAATAGAAATGTGCACATCTCACAATAATGCATCATATATGCATCTTAATATGTTATTGCTTTGATTTGTTGAACCATTGTTCTTACTTTTTCGGTGTTTCTAACACTTCATTTTTTAAAACCAGAACCCGATTCGAACCTGCTTGAAACCTAAACAACCTTGTTAGATCCCATAACTCTTATTTGTAAAAGTAATGAAAAACATCAAGTGTGAAAGAGCAGGAGGCCGATGGAAGACTTTCAGGCAAAAAGACTAAGTGTCCAATACAACCAGAGGTGTGATGAACTGCGCATCTCCATAACCCCTCTAGTTACCAACACTTGGAGTATTCCACGACAGTTCAACCAGAGGCACCCGTTGAAGAAGATATCAAGACATGGTTGAACAACGCCCCATAGAAGACAGCAGGAGATGGCAAATCGACAGCTGGATTCTCCAAGATTTACTTTGCTTTATTTACTTTCCATATGTCTAGATAGTTTTCCTTTTCATAAGAGATTTGCTAAATATCTTCCATAGATAAC